CAATCTTCGCTTTAAACTCTGTAACCTACTATTAGCTACCTCATAGTTGGTCCCCTTCGTGGAGGGGTCCAGTTTCCATGGAATTGGGACTACGAAATGGCCATCAACGTAGTGAGTACCTCTTTCCACTATCTCTAAGGCTACCTGGTCTTCTACTGACACTGACTTGTCACTGGAATAGACATCAGCAAATTCTACATCATACAGTTTACGTATCTGATCCTCCAAATCCTGTGCGCTACTAATATGGTTAACAACTCTTTTTCTATATTCCGAGTATGATGTAGGTCCAAACACAGTCCATCCAAGTAGTGTCTTTATCGCATACGGCGCTTTCCTCCCGCCTAGACGTTGCTCTAACACCCAATGTGCCTCTGGCACGTCACACCCGATGAGCATCAAAACGTCTTCAGATTCTAAACCTTCTACCGGTACATCCTTTAAGTGCGGCCATTTCGTTAGATTTTTCATTGCTAACATGGTGGGCTTATGCCTCGGTAGGCTAGGTACGATCATCGCTCCTTCAATCACGATGTGCTCCAACTGATCTAAAGAAAGCACTTCAAAGGTGGCATTCGTACATGCAGCCGTTTTGTCACCACTCACAGTTTGTACCACAACTAACTCACAGTTTTTCGGCAATCCAAGCGCCTTTGCACAAGTTGACGTTATCAACGTAGAATCAGAGCCGTTGTCTAAAAGAGCATATCCTATTATCTCGGCTGTTTCCGATTTCACACGTACTGGGACCAATCCTAAGCATACCTGTCTGCTCAGTGACCTAGTGTGTCCGCAACAATGCTGGGATTCACGTTTATCATCCACCCTTTTGTTGGTCGAGTCTTCGTGCAACAAAACATGATGTTTTTTCCCACACTTGTCGATACCACAACGCATTGTCGATTTACAGTCACTGGCCTTATGCCCTTGCTTCAGACAGGCGAAACACATCCCCTTTTTTCTGACCTGCTTCCATCTATCTTGAACAGTAAGCTTTAAAAACTGAGGGCATTTAGTAACCAAGTGATCACCAGTACAAATGCTACAGTTATATCTAGTATTCGGTATGGTTGCTGGTTTCGATTGAAGGTGACAGTTCATTTTTACATCTCTTCCTATTTTTGGCCGATTAGCCAGCCGACCGAATCTACTATCAGCTATTCTTGCTCGAGATAATACGAACTCAGTAAGTTCAGTAAAGGTAGGCTCTCTATCTTCTTCAATCCATTTTACCGCTAATTCCGCCCACTGGGCTTGCATTCGACGAGGTAAGAGCCTGACTATTCGTTCTAAAGTAACCATGGAATGAAGTTCCGTTGCACAATTTAGCTGTTCTAAAGTTAAAGCAGCATTCTGCATTTTAATAGCCAAATTCGTCAATTCCTCAGGATCATTAAAATCTGCGTTCCCGGTTCTAAATAAGTCCTCTAAGGTTTCCCGGGCTATTACATGCGACTGTCCAAAGAGCTGTTTTAAGATGGCCTTAGCTCTCTTATATCCCGCTTGTGGATCCATTATAATACAACCTTCAATCGCATTTTTTGCCCTTCCTTTACAATAGTGAATTAAGTATAATAAACGCAAATTTTCATCTTTTATTCTTGGTTCTATAAACGTTTCTATTTGGCGCATAAACCTAAAGTAGTCGCGAGACTTTCCATCAAAAAATGAAAGTTCGACCTTAGGTAGTTCTAAACCTACTATCGGTGTCTTAAGTATCTGATCCGTCTCTGGTACCTTAGAACTCTCATTTAAGCCTTGTTCCTTAATGCCTGCCAAAGGTGACTTACAATAATAAGTATCAGACATAACATCGTTATTAACAGAGTGGTTACCCATTAAAAAGGTATCAAAAACGACTTGCCTAGCATTTCGGGATACGTCAAGATCTTCCACCCTCCTCGTGTTTGTTTTCTTGCGATTGGTCATTATAAGTGAAGTTCAACGGAAGATAATTAACAAATACAAAATATAGGAATTCCACAGTTAATACGAAAATACGATAAGTAATCCAAGATTCTTCTTTCAAGAAAGTTAGAGTTATAAACGATTAAATTTCCAAATGTTTCTTTATTCTTCTTAATAATCCAACTGTAATTGGTCTTGTAATCAAAAGTGATAGATAATTCCAGACTGTAAATGGATTTCTACGTTGGCCGTTCCAATGGGTTCCAATAGGTGCACTCCTGAACTCGTTTCTCCCAGTCCAAGGTCTCGATAAAGCAAAAATTCCAGGAGAAAGTGTCTTTATTAATAAAAACATGGAAATACAAGGCAGTACCTGGAATTAATACACCTTCCAGGATACAATTACTCCGAAGAGTATCAGAAACAACGATAAATAAGTGACGTTAAGTCCAACGGCTACTGTATCAATCCAAATATGGCTGTAGCCATATTAAAGATCAAATTTAAACAACATATATACAGATCAGAAGCAAACACAAAAACTTCAATATAAGTACAAAATATAGAAATAATAACAATATACAATGATAAAATCTCAAATTGGAATCAAATAAAATACCAAAAATGTCAACAGAAAGAGTCCGTCATGTCATAACAAAAATATGTAAACATGGAGGGATTTTCCAAAAAACAAAACATTCAAAATGGATTCTACAGAGGCTGACAGTGGATGATCACTGGCAAACAGTGAGAGATATCATCCAAAACTCTGTTGTAGACAAAGCACCTCAGTCACACCACACACACGGGAACAGAAGAATTCGGGTTAGGCGCTGCACTAAACGCTTTCTATAGGCGAGGATGAGAGCCTGGCACAAGTGGAAGATCTCCTTAAAGGATTCCGATCGCAGTTCTTCCTTGGGATTGAGAAACAGATACAATACCAAAGTTCGAAGTGATAGGAGACAATTTCAGATGAAGCTAGCTGCCAAAATACAGGCGAACTCGAAGCATCTGTTTAGGTTCATGTCTAAAAGAAAACCTACTAATCAAGGGTTGTGTTATCTCAAAGGACCAAACGGGGAAGACCTCACCAACCTAGAGATGGCCGAGATATTCAACTCTAACTTTTCTTAGCAGTTAAACCAGGCATCCACATGTTCAGGGTACTACGCCCACCCATTGCCAGCTGACGGCTTAGGGAACATCCGTATCACTCCTGACTTGGTACTAAGGAAATCGAAATCCTTACCCCCAGGTAATTCATCAGGTTGTGACAAAATTCGCCCCATAGTCTTGAAACAATGTGCAGAAGTCCTCTGTTCACCGATATGTGACCTGTTCAGACATTCACTGGAGTCACACCAATTCCTAGCTGAATGGATAAAAGCTACTCTTTCTCCAATCTTCAAAGGAGGCGATAGAAAGGACCCAGACTGTTACAGACCAGTCGCACTACTACCACTATTATCAAAGGTTATGGAGGAGCTGGTAGACGAACAGATGAGGGAGTAAATGGAATAAAATACACCATGAAGCTTAACAAGGGTTTCGGAAAGGCAGGTCGTGTGCATCTAATCTTCCCATTGCATGGGACAGTTGGACATCCTGTTAGGACTGTAAAATACCGGTGCACGTAATATTTCTCGACTTTGCAAAAGCCTTTGAAACAGCACCCCACGCACGCCTAATCGACGACGTTGTGGAAATGTGCTTGAGCGACCCACTCATATCTTGGCTCAAAAACTAACTTGAGAATAGAAAGTTTCCTACTAAGGTGAATGGAGTGCACGCTAGCTAGCGAGTATCTACATTGGGAGTTTCACAGGGGATCATTCTAGGTCCACTTCTCTTCCTGATATTTATGAACGACCTGCTAGGCTCAGTTAGCTCGCCGGCATTGATCTACGCAGACGATGCGAAGATCTGGAGGTCCATTAGAATCGAAGAGGATTCGACTGAGCTTTAAAAGGACCTTACATCTATTGAGAAATGGGCAGTAAAAAAGGTTTAAAACTCAACCCAACCGAAGTGCCACGTCATGCATCTCCTGCCTCACACAACCCGAACGATCTACACCCTCAAAAGAAGTCCATTCCCTGATGTCTCATCAGAGCGCGATCTCGGTTTAATAACCACAGCTTCCACAATAGTCCGAACTATGTAAGGGAAGCAGCAAAGGCAAATGAGACTCTTCACTTTATGCGAAGAAAACTTGGTGCTATCACAACGCAATTAATTCTGACACTATTTAGGACCTACGCGCGCCCACTCCAGCTCTTGGGATTGTTTCCACTGAGCTACAGGAGAATCAGAGGTGATCTATTTACGGCATACAACATACTATGCACGCTAAACCATCCCAGTGTGAGCATCTTACCGATGCATCACCAATAATACCATCGAGGCAATCCTCAAAAGATTGCACATCAAAGAGCGAATACTCAGATTCGTGCACACTTTTCCTCATTGCGAGTCGTCACTACTTGGAATGCTCTCCCACCCGAGGTGACCACATCCCCCTCAGTAGACAGCTGTAAGAAGAGACTTGATAATCACGTACTCACATACGGACTGTTTTCTCCATCTTGGACAAGCTGTTCATGATGCATATTTTGAGACCTGCTAGTCGTTATTATTTCCATCTCCTCAGATCACTTACTTAATCTATCTCGCCTCCCATCTCTGTTTCCTCCCCTTTGCTTACACTATGGTCCTCTCTCACAAACTTCACTACCAATTAATAAACTAAATTCATCTATATATTACTCAGTTCTGAAATTTTATTCATATTATCATTAGAATTTTATCCTCATTATCCTTATTAATATCCACATTACAACTAACTGATCTCCGGTCTGGTAATGTGATGGCTGCTAGTATCCAGAAACCCTACTGCCCTGAAACAAACGTTTTAATTCACATCCCGAGACATACAAACTCAACCAACTGACAAGAATTAGAAAAGCGAGTGGTTAGACCCCCATTCATTGGACACTACCGAACACCTGGAACCGTACCGAAAGAACAAGAATCGAGCGCTAAGAAATCAAAGTGGTTTATACTAACTCGTGAAAAAGATATTGGATATTGAACGCGCGATAAAAGTCCACATCGTCGTTCGTAACGCATTCGAAACCTTTCTCTATCAACCCCTGGTATAGTTTATCAGTTTGTCTTAATCTCACACTGGTTTTATTTCGGGATGCTGTCTATTTATTCCTGTATTTCATTTAAGTGCATTGTTTGTGCCTACTGGGTCGGCTCATCTTTTTATCTTGTTCTTTCTTCCAGATAATCTCACCCGCTGCTCCTCGCACCCCCCAGCACACTAGGTCCCTCCTGGATAAACGAAAACCAACCAACGGCTTAATTAACACATTACTTGTCTTGAATATATCTCTTCAGTTGATTTTAAGTAACTGCTCTTTCAAGACTATAGCGAAAGATAATCCAACAAAACGGTATTATTTCTACCCTTTCTAAAGACAATGTCTCGGTATGTTTGTGTTCTGATCATTTTTATCTATATTTAAATACTCAATTAAGCAGAAACTGGGAAATAAACGCGAAATTATAGGAAACAAAAGGAAAACATCTGATTTTACACCTTTCGTAGAATATTTTTGGAGAGAAAAGTATAAAATTTGTATGAATTTAGGCAAGAAATACTCCATTTGGAGACCTTGAAAGTGTAATTCTAGCTTCGTTACACTTATGGTGAGACATTCTGGCAAAATATCTGATCATTTCCCCAGCCTAGACAGACCAGTAACGTTACATTATCGTCGCCAATACCGCATTTATTTCTCCAAAGTTCACTTTTATATCCCCATTTCTGTTTAACTGGGTGTACATTGAGTATTTTGCATTTTAATTTGGTTTGTTAAAATTCTGGGTGTTTCTGAAACTTTTAAATTATTTTTGGGTAAAACATCAAACGGGTGAAAATTTTGGAGTCTTAAGTTTCACTCCTGCAGATTTTGCTTTTGAAGCCCCCCTCAGAATAATAAAATTTCTTCCGGACGGGATATTGATTCGAGACAGTGTTTTGGTTATTGTCCCACTCAAACATTAAGTAGTGATTCTGGTAAACATAGGTCTTCATTAATGAAATCATTCATCATATGTCGGATTTACAGAAGGCTTAAGGTAAAGTCCAAATGAAGCCTATTGGCCCCTTTGCATAAAGCATAAACCAGTCAGTATCTCTCTTACTCTAACCTAGCTGAGTGCCTTTGGTGAAGGGAATGGAGAAACAATAGTTTTGTTTCGAGTTGTTTCACTTGAAGCCATATCTTACGTTCGCTAGCTACTTAACCCGTCAAAGTTATTACCAATAATGTGAAAATCTTAAACATTTTCGAAACTGATTTTCGATTACCTCTGTTTTTACTGGGTGTTATTTTAGATTTTTTAGTTTGTTTATATGATTTAAGTCAACATAAGGAGTTATAACAATTTCTCTCCATCTTACTGTTTAGCTTTACATATATCTGGTATGGGAACTATGAAGTCATTCCTTGAACCCATCATTTGGTGGTGTTTTTATATGCTATTGATCAGTAAATGTATTTGATGGTGCATTTCCTTTGACATTCCGAGCTCTTCATGTAACTGCAGTTCTTTTAAGCCGTAAATATAAACGGTGATATCACTTTTTGTTTGTTGTTTCAGAGAACTAAATCACAAAAAATGGACGAAATCATCGGCTTTGTAAATGAATCTAATGCTTTTTGGTTTGTTAGATACCTCTTGATAAACACCGCGTGAAATTGTAAATAATTAGTATTTACTATTTCGTTCAGTGCGCTAGTACCGATAGTTCCTGTTTAAAAACTATGATCATACTCATCCACTGTACATCAGTCAGTCAGTCAGATGCAACGTAGAACTTCGTACGTAAGTACATCAGTTCATGTCGCCACATCACATCAGCACACAGATATAATTGTCAATTCAAATCCAATAGTAGAAGAGGTAATAAAGGTATCAGAAGTAATCGGAGAGAAGTATGATTCAGTGAGAAAAGTTTAGAAAGTCAAAACTGGAGGTGATGAAGAATCCAGAAGATTAGGATTTGAGAGAACACAAAGAATAAATGCACCGGCACCATTGCGAACGATTTTGAGCCATGTCATTCAAGGTCTCTAACCATCGATTATTATCATCTCGCGGACCCCAACCAGGTAGTCGACAATCACCGACATGGCTAAGTCCACTCGTCAATGACTTCATGGGTTTCTGCCATGTTTTGGTTTGGCCGCCCCTAGCTTTCTTCCAACCTATTCCTACACTACAAAACAAAGCTCGTCGAGGCAGTCGGTGGTTGGGCATACGCAACATATGTCCCAACCACCTCAACTGATGAAGTGTCACCACTGCGTCTATTGATCTGCCATTCTTACCTAGCACCTGATTCCTACTAACAGCGTTGCTAACTCGGGTGTCCCAGGAGATACGAGCGATGCTTCGAAGACACCTATTGCTCGTATATCCTCGAAGCATTGCTCGTATATCCTGGGACACCCGAGTGAGCAACGCTTTACATAATAGAACTTACTGGTTGATTTATAACAATGGGATCACAAATGCAAACCCTCATTTAGCGTCGTAAGGTTTGGATTCTACCTGCATTCCTCATACTGTAAGTTCTTATCAGTTGTGTTCATAACTCCACATGTGTTTGCCCATTAGCCTGTGTTCATTTAAATAGGCTTTTTGATGGTCATTAGATGTTGATAGGATTTGTGATGACTTCGATAAGTGCACAGTAGTTGTCTTACGTTCTTACAAGTTTTACCACATCTTCCTCATTTAAGATCTGTGACCGTGTATATTCATAGTAAGAGCATCGTACAAAAAAAAAGTAACGCAGGTTACGGCTCAGTAATTTGTGTACGTATATTTTAATCCTCTTCATGACGTCTTAATGTGACCCACTTAATAGTTTTGGAAATCGATATTAACTCATTGAAAAAAAATATTCTTACTAATTTAGCGTTTGTACATGGTAATAATGGAGTTGTTTTTTTTAATGCTTATAAATCTAGTAGTAAATATCCAAAGAAGAAATACAGATGTCCATTTTCAATCAAATGTTTCTCTTGTAAACATGACGAAAATATTACTCTAGGTAAGTGACTTCTTACTTTATAATTCACATTTATAGCTTTTGATTCAGATATTACGTCTGAAATGGATGATCCCTTCAATTTGGATCCTGTTGCTTTAGATTGTGAAATGGTTGGCATTGGACCTGAAAATTCTAGTGCTTTAGGACGAGTTAGTATTGTTGACTATGAAGGGAAAGTGTTATGTGACGTTATAGTTAAACCTGAAGAAGAAATTTTCGATTATCGGACACAATGGAGTGGAATACGTGAAGAAGATATGTCTCGTGCACTACCTTATTTTTATGTTCGAAATCGTGTCTACAACATCCTATATGTAAGCATCTAATTTTAAATATTAATGATTAATATTAATACGGCTATCTAATTGAGTTATCAAATGTGATTATGTGATTATGTGTAAGTTGGTTTTTTTTGTTAATAGGCTCCAAATAAAGTTGATATAAAACATTTTGAGAACTTAGATGGTGCTGTGTCACTCTAATACTGCACTGTGTTTGACTACCTTAAATTTTATACCAACTAATGATGACTATTGAATTCAATTTAACATTTTTTCTGTTTTTCAGAATCGTATTGTAGTAGGGCATATGCTCAAGAATGACTTCGCCGTGTTAGATTTGAGACATCCTCCTCATTTAGTACGCGATACTTGTAAGGTTCCATATCCTAAGACACTTGCTGGTTTTCCCACAAAATCTAAAATTGGACTACGAGCCCTTACTTTGCGGCTTTTCGGTTAGTTATCATTATATTTTGTTATACGTTTTCATTATTTTCATAGAAATTTATAATTTCTATACCGCGGGTTTGCTATTTGAGATCCTCCTATCCTATAATAAGTCACTGACAAGTAGACTAAGCCATGTTGGTAGATGTAGGCTACCTGGTTGGAGTCCACGAGATGATAATAATCGATGGTTAAAGAGTCTGAATGACATAGCTCAAAGTCATTTGCAATGACGCAGGTGCATTTATTTTATGTGTCCTCTCAAATCTTAACCTTCTGGATTCTTCACCTCCCACATCTTTCTCTTTTTAAGTTTATTTCACTAGGTTCTACTTCTTGAATAATATAGTTGAACCCTAATCTCTCCGATTATTGCTAATACTTCTACTACCTCTACTACTATGGGATTTGAATTGACAATTGCATCTGTCTGTGCTAATGTGGTATGGCAACTTGAACTGATGTACGTACGTACGTACGAAGTTCTATGTCGTAACTGATTGACTATCATTTAAATAGTAATGCACGTTGAAAATCTACGGATTCAGTGTCTAACTGCTTACTTATCAACGTATTTTGTAGAGTAACTGTTTTTACTCCAATTAGGAGACTATTATTTGCTATTTATTTGAACACAATTATTAGTAAAAAGAGGCATCTAAAGATTTATACACCACACAAATTATTAGATTAAATTGCCAGACGCTCGCTTTTTGTTCTCTGAATTTCGTAAGCAACACTTTTGTCTTAAGAAGGTAATAACTAGGACTTATCTGGCAGTGGTTTTACACGCATGGCCATGTTAGAATACTTTGAAAGGGAAAGCGGACTCCTTTCACTCTCGGCCATTTTAGACATATACCTTCGACCATGAAACTTACTTGTCGACTTAGAACACACAAATGATATAGTTTTGTGCTGTGGTGGTAATATAGTATAGCAACTTAAACCAATGCACATATATGTCTGGTTCTGCGTTACGTATGACTGATTAGATCTTGTATGTAGTAAGTAGCCTAGGAAAATACATCCCTCTAAACACCTCATATAACTCTCTGCCAAGCATGATGGGGATGAGTTTTCGACGTTCCAAATAGGAAATCTCAGAGCTAATTTACATCAATACCTAGACACATGATAAGAAGTTAAGTAGTTGAGCATATTGAGCACCTCATTTATCTTGGAGTTTTTCTCAAACCTAATGGATTGTTATCCAACCAAGTCTCAATGTTCATTCAGTAAGCTCAGTTGGTTTTTCGTTAACTTACATTAATGGTAGCATAGGGTAAATGTCGTCTTCTAACGAATAGACAAGTATACTACTCATTATTTCACTCTGTGTATGATCTATGTGTTACAAACACTTACTTCGGTGTATAATATTTTCTAAGATAGAGAAGTAGATTGAAAAGAAAACAATGAATAGGCAAATAGAGTTAATACAAGTGACTATTAGTCTAAGTGATGTTTAACAGGAAACACTTGTTGGTTGAGGTCGATACAATAATAATAGTAGACGGATTCATTGATAAAAACAATCTTCAACTAAAATAGTTGTTGTCTAAAAATCATCTGTCTATAAATTTTCCTTTATAAAAATGCAGTGGCTTGTTGACTGGTAGATGACACATAGTTAGGAAACAGTGAGCCAATTGTTTGGCGTAATTTTTCGAAATTTCCGATATATCTGTTTGTGTCAAGTCAGTCAGTTACAACGTAGAACTTCGTACGTACCTACATCAGTTCAAGTTGCCGTACCACATTAGCACAGACAGATGCAATTGTCAATTCAAATCCCATAGTAGTAGAGGTAGTAGAAGTATTAACAATAATCGGAGAGATTAGGGTTCGAGGATATCATTCAAGAAGTAGAATCTAGTGAAATAAACTTAAAAAGAGAAATATAAAGGTGATGAAGAATTCAGAAGATTAAGATTTTAGAGAAGCTAAAGAATGGATACTCCTGCGCTATTACAAATTATTTTGAGCCATATCGTTTAAGGTCTCTTACCATCGGTTACGATTGTCTCGCAGGCCCTAACCAGGTAGTCTATATCTACCAACATAGCTCAGACCACTTGTCAATAGCTTATAACTTATGATTATCAAATACCGGAAATAATAGCATAGTTAGTCAATAAATATTATTATTAAAAAAATAGATTTATTTATTTAATTTCAACAATTTCTTCATTAGACTGATATTTTTTCTGGCTTCACACTATCCCATATCATGTATTTTTTTTATTGTAGGTATTAGTATTCAAAATGGTGAACACTGTTCAATTGAAGATGCTCGTGCAGCAATGGCTATTTATCGATTAGTTGAAGATCAATGGGAAGATGATTTCATATAATACAACTACTTTTAGTGATATTTGTGAATCAACATATTTCAAGAAAAATATATTCCATAACCAATAAATAATATTTCTACTTTTGGTATTCATGTGTTCAAATAAATGCAAACAAATTCATTTACTATTGAACTAGTTGGTTAAGATATGTGTAATTGTAATCAGAATATTCTGAATGAATATTTATGAATATCATATCATACGGTAGTGTATTAACGTTATGAATAGAAGTGTATATATTATAGGTATTGATATTTTCGGTATTCTAGCTTTATGTTGTAACAGTCAGCTATAATATAGATAGAACTTGGTACGTGTATGTACATCAGTTCAAGTTGCCATTCCTCATTAGCGCAGAAAGATCAAATTGTCAACTCACATCCCGTAGTAGTAGTAGTAGTAGTAGTAGTAGTAGTAGTAGTAGGGGTTGTAGAAGGATTAGTGGCAATGGCGAAGATTAGTGTTTGAAGATATGATGCAAGAAGTTAAAATCCAGTGAGATGAACTTAAAAACGGTAAAATAAAGGTGATGAGGAATGCAGGAGATTAGAATTTATGAGATGACAAACAATGGTTGCATCTGCGGCATAACGGACGATTTTGAGCCATGTCATTCGAAGTCTCTGACAACCGGTTATAATTGTCTCGCGGAAACCAACCAGGTAGTCTAAACTTATTAACATGACTAACTCCACTTGCCAATGACTTCGTGGATTTGTGCCTTGTTTCGATCTGGCCTCCCCTAGTTCCTCCCAGCCTACTCCTACATCAGACAACATCGCTCGTCGAGGCAATCGATGGTTGGGCACTCGTAACACATGTCCCAACCACCTCAACTAATGCAATCCCACTACTTCATCTATTGATGTGCCATCCTTAACTAGTACCCATTTCCTAACACCAGCATTGTTCACTCTGTGGTTCCAGGATATACAAGCCGTACTTCCAAGATACCGAAGATCAGATCTTTCATACCTGTTAAGTAGGACGGAACGAACTGCTGCCCAGTAGATGCGTCCTTTAGTTGGCAGACGGATATGTCACCTACGCCATAATTGACGCAAGTTGGCAAAAGCCAATCGATCCTTCTTTATCCATGTTTGTATTGTGTAATAAGTCGATGATCAATTAATATATCTATCCACACACTCAATGTTACTGTATTAAGTAACATGGGTAACTTTACATTTCAGATTGCTAATTTGTTGGTTAAATCATTTCGATTTCATATCATAGAGCTCAACCTCTTCCTAATTCAATTCGATTCAACACAATTGGTGTGGTGTGTGCTACTTATACGAACGATATAAGTAGCATAAGAAGGGACGTGAAAGAAGAAGTCTCACGGTCAGAAGAGGAAAACAGAAAGCAAATGGAGCAAAAGGAAGAAGTGAATGGAGTACCAACAGGAACGAAAGGAAGCAACAACAGGAATGGAAGAAGGATGGAGCGTTGGAAGTCACGACTCAAAGATGATGTGCAAATAGACTATTCAATGTAATGTTTTCGTTTTTAATTGACTCAGAGTGTAAATTTGCATAATACAAATCTTCCTCGCCTGCCTCACTCTTCTCAATTGGTGTCGCTGCCTCTACACAGGATGAAGATCCCATGGCCTCGGGAGTTTGAAGACGGAGATGTAAGGAGCTTCTTGAAGGAGTTCGAAGCCGTGGCGGAGCTGGTAGTGTGGTGCGAGCTACTTATAAGTAGTATATGACGACAGTGTCAACGTAATGTCTGGCAGCAGAAGATGGGGGAAGATCAAGAAAGAAAGAGTGGGAACACAATGGAATTTGTATGAAACGGACGAATAGTGACAATGGATTGATGTTTTGCAACAGGAACAGTCCAGTTCGATATGATGAACTGATATTTTGCAAATTAACGATTTACGATATGGTTTTCCTATTTTACTGAGTAACTCTGTAATTTTCGTTAAATACAATTTGGTTGCCCCACCTGTGTTTTCGTTCACTACATTTGGTGTTGCTGCCTGCTCGAAGGAAGGAGCTCCCGTGGCCGAAGGAGTTGGAGGACGGGGATTTGCGGAGCTTCCTGGAGGAGTATGAGGTCGCGGTGCAGCTGGTGGGGGCCCGGGGCGGAGTTGTAAATTTGCATAATACAATCTTCCTCGCCTGCCTCAGTCTTCTCATTAGGACAAGATGAATGAATGTTCTAGTAATTAAATAATTCAAATTTCAACTAAGAGATTACATTTTTCAAATTCATCCAATCTATTAGATGTAATTCTCTCTTATATAATAAAATAATCATTTTAAAGCTTAGTACATTTTCATTGGTGTTAATTGCTGGTCATAATATATATTACCCTGTTCAACTAAAAGGACAATAAAATCAAAGGCAATTAATATTTCATATTTATATCATTACGAATTTGTTTAGTGTGTGAGTTCGTAGTTTCCATTGTTTTTTATAAATATATGTATTAATATGGACTTAAATACGAATATGTTTCATTTTCTACCATATGGTTCTTAACAGCTGGTATTAATTTCCCTCAGAATACAAATGTAATTTTGACTACTGACAACTTGATTATTTATTTATGCTGTTGAAACGATAGTAAACTAGTTGCATCTTATTATTAGCTTTTATCGTTTATACTTTACAGTTGATTTGTTTATTTACTTACGCCTGTTGCCTTTAATGGAGCATCATAGGCTACTGACCAGTATTCTTCAACTATCTCTGTCTTAAGGCATTCCTTTCGAATTCTATTCAATTACTGTTCGTTCTTTTCATGTCTAGTTTTGATTCTCAACGTGTAGTGTGTTCTTTTTGCTTTTCTTCATTTCCAATGGACTTGAAGAATTCCAAGTGAGGGCTTGTCTTGTAACTCAGTTGAGTGATTTCTGCAATATGTGTCTTATCCACCACCCCGAATGCTTTTTCTTCTCTTCCACAATAGGTTATTACTGATGTTATCTGGCTAACGGATTTGCAGTATTTTGCATAGGCAACTGTTAAAAAAAAACACATATCTTTCGGTTGATGACTTTTGTAGTTCACCAAGTGACCACATCATACAATGAATGGAACTGTTCTGACGATTGCATTGAAAATTCTGACTTTAATATCGTTGGCTGACAGTTGTTTTGATTACCAGATGTTCTTCAATCGTGAAAATACTATCCTTGCATTGTTAATCCGTGTCTTCATACATGCATCAGGTCGAATTTGTGTATCATTGATAGTGCCCGCATATGTTCACATCTTTATATCTCTTTCAATGCTTCTCTCTGTCAAGTGGAATTTGGTTGGTGTATGTTGTATTGTATTGCTTTTTCTTCTTTGTATGTTGAGACCTTCTGCTGCTTCATCGACTGACTACTGTCTTCTTTTGTATTTGTTGTTTAGAAAAGCTGAATCATTGACGAAATCCAAATAGTTTACTTTCACATTTATGGTTTAGCTAGTCCATAAAAAAAAACGAGACTATTCACCTAATCAAGTTCACTATTCACATGTCTACTGCTTAGTTTATTAACACTATCCATAAATGCATATAGGTTGTAAACATTACTATTTAGGAAGATTGTGGTGCGCGCTACTTACAAGTAGTATATGACGTGAGTGAAAACGTAATGTCTGGCAGCAGAAGATGGGGGAAGATCAAGAAAGGAAGAAGAGTGGGAACACAATGGAATTTGTATGAAACACATGAATAGTGAGTGAAATGTCAGACAATGGATTGATGTTTTGCACATTAACGATTTACGTTATGGTTTTCCTATTTTACTGAGTAACTCTGTAATTCTCGGCAAATACAATTCGGTTGCCCTCACCTGTGTTCTCCTTCACCACAAGATGACACTTTTTTTACTCAACCCATTTATCCTTCCTTTATCCATTTTGTTCCTGTAAATTGTTCCGAATCACAAAGTCAAAACTTTCATAGGAAACGAATAAAACACAATTACCAACATTAAAATACTAGTACTCTATTTTTCAGCAACCTTGAAATCTGAACAATCAACAATCCTAGATCTGTCAGAATTATTGGGTTGTGGAGATGTCTGAATGTTATTAAATTTATTTACCCATCTAAGTTAGAAAACCTAGAGGCATTAGACGGCTTTGTTTTGTCCAAATATTAAACTCCTGAGTAGTTGGTATCCATGACCCCGCAACCGGGTATAGAGCACAGGAACTTTCAGGTTTTTTTATGTGCCGGGTCATCACGGGTGTACACTGCCACGGAGTATCTATCATACAAAGACAGAATCGCAATCCAGTGCCGCCTCCGAGGTGAGGTTGTCAAACGTAAATCAATTCATGATTTTCTAGTAAAATTGTGTGATAGGCAGTGAAGTAGTCGAACGTGTAGACCGCTTCACTTATCTTGGGAGTCTCATCAGTGCCGATGGCCTGGTGACTAACGAAATCTCAGCTCGGATACAGAAGGCTCGATTGGCTTTTGCCAAACTGCGTCACTTATGGCGTAGGCGAGATATCTGTTTGCTGACTAAAGGACGAGTGTACTGCGCAGTAGTTCGCTCCGTCTTAATTTATGGCTGTGAAACATGGCCAGTGAGAGTAGAAGATATTCGTAGGTTACTGGTTTTCGATCATAGGTGTCTTCGAAGCATTGCTCGTACATCGTGGGACACCCGAGTGAGCGAGGCTGTTATTAGGAATCGGGTGCTAGGTAAGGATGGCAGATCAATAGATGAAGTAATGAGACTTCATCATTTGAGGTGGTTGAGACATATGTTGCGTATGCCCAACCACCGACTGCCTCGTCGAGCTTTGTTTTGTAGTGTAGGAATAGGTTGGAAGAAAGCTAGGGGCGGCCAAACCAAAACATGGCAGAAATCCATGAAGCCATTGACGAGTGGACTTAGCCATATAGGTAACTGTCGACTACCTGGTTGGGGTCCGCGAGATGATAATAATCGATGGTTAGAGACCTTGAATGACATGGCTCAAAATCGTTCGCAATGGCGCCGGTGCATCTATTCTTTGTGTTCTCTCAAATCCTAATCTTCTGGATTCTTCAACCCCTCTAGTTTTGACTTTCTAAACTTTTCTCACTGAATCA